CGTCCATCATTCGTATACCTTTGAATAATATACATCAAACTATCATTTTCGGTGTTTCGTATAGCCTATGAATAATGGTTGTTAGAGAATTGTCCAGGATGAAATGATGAATTATGTCTTGAAGTAGTATTATTCACCTCTCACGTTTATACATAGCACATTATTGGTTTTGGTACGGAGTTCATCAGTCCCAAATAACAACTTTTGGTGTCCTTTATCTGAAGCTCATCAGCTGGGAATGACAATACATTCAAAATCTAGTCTCCCTTGCCATTAATAAAAAAAAAAATTAACAACAAAATATAAAAAAAAAAACTAGAGGATGACCGATCCACTGTGAAAAAAGGTTATAGCTATAATATATACATTTGATTATCTTCCATTTTTTACATTAAACATATATCCTTGTACTCTGAAAATAGGGTTATAGGTATAATATGCTTTTTTATTATTTTGTTTTATCAAACATGCCGCTTTACGATTTTTTACATCAAACATGCCTGTCTACTTTGGAAAACTTATCAAACATGCCCTTCCGTTAATATTTCCATTGAAAAATTCGTCAATCATGGTTGAACCGAAATTTAGATGTCCTGAGATCGGCAAATGGGAGGGAAATGTCAGTTTTATTTCTCTGGGTCTCGTCAAAGCGAAATTATTAGAATTATTATTTGGCTATACAATAGAACCAAAAAGAATTCAAAAGTGAAATTATTAGCGATATTTTAGACATTTGTGTCGCCCAAACCAAAGTTCGGTCATGGTTAACGATTTTTTATGAAGCTTTCCCTTATTGTAAACCTTTGCATAAAAAATGTCAACCGTGGTCGATAGTGGTTCGAACGACCTAGCATCGACAAAATGACTGGGAATACGTTAGTTTTGCCCCTTCATTTATTTCTCTAAGTATCGATAACGTGAAATGATTAGGGTTATTGAGCCATACATAAGAAACCAAAAAATATTAAATTGAAATTATTAAGAATATTTAGACATTTGCATTGTTAAAAACCACAATTCTATCATGGTTTGACGGTCTTGAGATGAAAATTTTAACATGAGAGCGTGGAACTGGAAACCGGATCGTACCGGCCGGTTCAACTGGAAAAACAGAAAACCGGCCAATATCCGATATCATAGTGTCTGTGTGCCGCGAAATAGCGTACCGGCCGATATTAATGGTAGAATCGGCCTTCCGCGATTTTTCGGTCGGTTTGATGTAATCGGCTGTACTTAAAATGAAAAGAGCACGGTGGTTTGACGACAACGATGGTGACCGACGACGATTGGGGGCGATGAAGATTGTAAAAAATGACAAGAGAAGAGGAAGAGATCTAGGTTGCAATGTGAGATTTGGGCAGGCCTTCCTTGGGCCTTCGGGAGAAATCAAAGTGGAGAGGGAGGTGAGAAGATGAAGAAACAAAGGGTGGGATTAGATTGTTTGGGGTAATCTGGAATGATTTCCCGATCCCTGTAACCTATTGCTACTGCTCTCACCTCCGTCGTCCTCTCGTGTTGGTGGAGAAGAGGAGGAGAGGTAGTGGTACAACTCCATCCAAAGTCGATGAGTATATCGGCAGTTTTTTGCAAAAGGACCGAGGCGCGCGATAGGCGCTCAAGTAGTAGACTGCCCTTTCGCACGACGGCGATTGCCCGGAGGATTCCAATCGGAGAAGATTGAAGCGGTTACGGGAAGAGATATCGAAGGCGTAACGGTTATCTGGGGTAACTGAACGGACGGGTGAGATCTGCTGCACGTAATTGGTAACTGTGTTTTTTAATTAATTATAATTTCACACCTTTTAGAATGGCCTAACTGCTCCAAGTAAGTAACTCAAACAGACTCCTCAGTTTCTTTTTTTACTTTATTGCATTTGAGTCATTTTTTATTTCCTTTATCTTTTTAATTAACCGCTTTACTTTTCTTTCATTATTTATTAGTAATTTTTATTTTTGTTTTCTTTTGATACTTACCCTCCCTTTTATTCATTTAATTTGTCAATTTCGTCCGTTTTTTTTCCTGTTGTTCTTTAACTATTCTAAAAAAAAAAATTGTCATAGTTTTGGATTCGGTGTATCCGACTAAGTCTTAATGGCTTGTTTAAGTCCATTTGATGGAGCTTAGTTGTCCTACAGTGGGGACGCTTGTATGTTTTGTTTGTTTTTTTTGTAGGAGCACGTAGAAGAGCTCCTGTTATCGGAGAGACTTCCTCAGACAGGTGACTTGGCTCTTGATCATGATGGAACTATCTTGCAGGATACTCAGAGCTCGGCTTCTCTCTGTAGTTGGGTTTCTTTCTGTTTTGTTCTCCGTTGTCTCAATAGGGCTGCCCATCATGTGGCATAAAAGGCCCTCTCATCGGGAGTTCGACTATTGGTCGACTCCCGCGCTCTTTTTATTTTCTCTGTATTCTGATTTTATAACAACTGACTTTGCGAAAAGAAAAAAAAAAGGTGATGGATTGATGGATAAATTCGAAAGATGAATAGGAGCTAGGGATAGAGAATATGAATTGGGGTTTCCTTATGAGAAGAGAGCAACGGCAGAGATTGGGAATGGGAAATGGGGAATTAGGGTTTGTGTATGTGAAGTGTGAGTGTCGAGTGGGAATAGGGATGGCAATCATACCCACCACCGCGGGTACCCGCCCGCCCCATACCCAGTCAACGCGGGGAATCCCCGCTTTGACTGGGTATGGGGCGGGTATGGGTAAAACCCGCGAAGAATCTGATGGGTATGGGGCGGGTTTGGTTTTAGGTGCCCCCGCCCCATACCCATACCCATACCCAACCCGTCAAGCTTATTTGTTATATGCTAAAAATACAAGTACCTGTTTGTAAATTTTTAATGACATAAAAGGTAAATAAAATAAATATAGATGGCTAAAACATAATTTTACTTATCAAAACCCTAAATGAAACATTAGCCCTTCTCCATTCTCATTTTTGGACAGCCGCCGCACAGAGAGCCCGCAGCCCCGCAGAGGCGCAGACGCTCATCCTCCCAGTCCCACAGGCCTTCTCCGGCGAAGTTGTCGTCGTCGGTGGCGGAGGAGATCGGAAGGCTCGTCGTCCCGTCCGTCGACTCCCGCAGCCGGCCAGCAGCCTCCCGCAGCCTCCCGTCGTCTCGAGATCTTTCTTCTCCCATCGACTCCCTCAGCCGCACCACTCGATCCCGTCGCCGGCGCGCCGCCCAGCTCCACGCCCAGCAGATCCCGTCGCCGCCGGCTCTCCGCGCGGTTCGTCTCCACGCCCAGCAGATCCCGTCCACGAGCAGATCCCGTCCACGCCCAGCAGATCCCGTCGTCACCCGTCGCGCCGAGGTCTTCAGTCGTCGCTGCCCAGTTCGTCACCCGTCGCCGCCCAGTTCTCCGCACGGTTCGTCAGTCGTCACCCAGATCCCGTCGCCGCCTTGCCTGCCGTCAGCTCCACGGAGGTCTCCTTCCGCCCAATCCCGTCGCCGCAGTCATTCTCGTCCCCACCCAGCTACGACAAAAAATCGGCGGCCACAAAGTGGTTTTCATGACATAGATCGGACTTGGCGTTAATTTGCAGAACAGATCTAATTGCCCTTCACCAGCTCTTTGTCGATCAGCCTATTATCCCCAAAGAAGAAGGTAAAAGAGCTAATACCACTGCTTTTCATGGGAGAATGCATCAGCAACGGGATACCTTATACGTCTTATTTGTGTGTTTATTGTATATACAACTGATTTGAATTTTAATTCTTTCAGAAAGTCGGCTTTTTATCTCTAGATGGCTAGCAACTCTTCACAATCTGATGCAATATCACCTGCAGCCATGGAGCAAAATTCAACTACCGCTACCACCCAAACAGCTTCTATACCAACAACGAATTCAACCCCCCTTGTTGTTCCTTCTGTTGGTAATGCTGCCATCCCTACTCCTACTAATCAAGGTGATGTTGTAATGAGTGAAGGAACTGGTAGTGATTTGCCTAGTAATAGGTTTACGAGTGATGCTTGGAAACACTTTACAAGGTATCAAGAAGGTGAAGAGATAAAAGCTAAATGTCATTATTGCAAGAAATCTCTGAAGGCAGGTTCAAAAAATGGTACTAGTCATCTCCTTGAGCATTATAAAAGCAGCAAATCAATTGCCTATCAATTTTGACAAGAAGTTGTGTCTTGATTGTCCAACTAGGTGGAACTCCACTTACTTAATGCTTAAAACTGCATTGGAGTATAAGGATGTTTTTCCTAGATTGAAACATAGGGATGCAAAGTATAAGAAGGTGCCTAGTGAGGGTGATTGGTCTTTTGCCAAAGAAGTTTGTCTGAAGTTGCAATTGTTTTATGAGGTGACCGAGTTGTTCTCAGGATCACAATACCCTACTGCCAACTTGTTTTTTCACAAGATTTGTGATATCAAAGTGGGTTTATCAAAGTGGGCATCAAGTGATGATCCTTTTGTGTCTGAGATGGTTGCAAAGATGGTTGAAAAGTTTGATAAATATTGGGGTGCAAGTCATGGTATCTTGAGTGTGGCTGCTGTTCTTGATCCACGATACAAAATGACATTGTTGAACTTTTACTATCCAATGGTATTTGGGTCCAAATCTAGTGATGAATTCAAGAAAGTACGTAACTTGCTAGCTGATTTAGTCCATGACTATCAAATGAGGGTTGATACAAGTAAAGAGGGTTCTGGTTGTTCACTTGCTGGTTCTACTTCGGATGGAGCAAGTGCAGGGAGGATGAGTGAGTATGACTTGTTTGTGGAACAACTTCTTTCTCAAAGTCCGGGTGGCAAGAGTGAGTTGGATTCTTATCTTGAGGAGAAAGTTCTGCACAGAAGTCCTGACTTTGATATCTTGCTTTGGTGGAAAGCAAATGCATCTAAGTATCCTACATTGGCTTTGATTGCAAGAGATGTGCTTGCTATTCCTGTGTCTACAGTTGCTTCTGAATCTGCATTTAGTGCTGGTGGTAGATTGATTAGCTCTCAGCGAAGTAGACTTCATACAAAAACAGTTGAAGCTCTTATGTGCACTCAAAGTTGGCTATTGAACCATATTGATGAGAAAGGTAATTTCATACTACTTATTAGAAGTTCTCTTAATATCGTTACTATTGTTTCCATTCATTTCAATAAATGTTTTCTATTTTGTAGAGGATCTTTCTGAACTACCTTCAGACAGTTTGGCTACTGTTAATGAAGACGAGGATCCGGCTTTGATTGGAGCCTTATCTGGTAATGTTTCAAGATGTGTATTGTCTATTTACATAATGTGACTTGAAGTGTATCTAAATCTATTTTGTTTTGTTGTAGGTCTTGCACTTGATTCAGATGATGATTCTGAAGATGAATGATGTCCAAATTTGTCTTGAGTTTAAAGTATGACCACATAAGGACTATTTCTTAGTGCTTTGTTTTCAATCACTCTTTTCATATGTCTAATGCTTGATGATTTATTTGTGTTTGTAGGTATGGAGAAATGAAGAAGGGATTTATGTAATGCTTTTGGGAGAGGCAATGCGACTTTGTGTGTTTGAACTTTGAAGTAGTCTAGTAGACTTTGATCTTTTGGAGACAATTAAACAAAGGATTGGATGTTTTTTCGTATTAAGAATGATTGTACCTTGTTGATTTCATAATTTATGTGGTTGTTTTAGTGTTATAATTGAAGAATGCATGTTGTTTATTAGGTGTAGAAGTAATGCATACATGGGGATGGGTATTACCCATGGGTACCCGAAACCCGCGGGTATGGGGATGGGTATGCAAATCCTCAACCCGCATGGGTATGGGGCGGGGATGGGTATGGGTATATGGAGATGGGGATGGGGATGGTTTAGGCAAACCCGCCCCAAACCCGCCCCATTGCCATCCCTAAGTGGGAACCGTGAGGTGAGAGAGGGAATTTTTATATTTTTTACCCAATTTTGTTTCAAAAGGCATCATTTTAGGGAGGGAATAAACATATCCATTTTATTTTGGCCATATGTGGCAGCGAAATAAAGTAGGAGTCTGATGGTATATGGTAATTATGACTATTTAATATTTTTGTAGCCGGTATATTTCGGTTTTATTTCGGTATTACTCCGGTATGGTAACAAGATTTTGTCGGTACAATTTTCTTATAAAAAATTATTTTATTATTAAAAAACGATATTTACCGGTATGAAATAATTGAACCACGATCCTACCACAAAATATCCTACCAAAATGGAATCCAGTATGACGTTCGGTACGGTTTCCTGAACCATGTATGAGAGTAGTGAATTACTTGTAACCAATAACCAGACTATTGGACTCCAGGTGATGATTATAAAAAAAAAAAGTTTTCGTGAATCGTGATGATTAGTTAGCAGGGGTATTAGTCCATTAGACATACACATCTATTATATCAAGAAAAAAAAGCATCCACAACTTACAAGAAAGTTTTTGAAATGAAAAGAAGACTAATTTGGGGTTGTTATATGGGATCATCAAAAACTTCAAAGCAAAGGACATTTCACTAACCTGTGCATGCACTATCAAACCCGATCCGAATGTTAGCCAAAATTCTAGGTCCCCAAAATTTATTGAATGCATCGAGACATGCTGCCGTTATCATGGATTGTACTAGTGGTTTGCTAATTGTTAGTGGTCCTTGGGCCAAACTAGCCACACGTTTAAATTTCCCTCTGAATAATAGTCAAAGGACGGACCAATCAGATCATCCCAAAAAAAAATTCAGTACTTATATATAGCCAGGGCATCACAAAACATCAGTGTAGTACTGTAGCTGGTACAACAGAGTTCAACCGTTATTTATACAAAAATCAGCTGGAAGGATATTGGTATGAAGCAATAATAAAAATCGATAAAAAGGAAACAACTTTTTAACAAAAAAGTAAGCAATTTTGCCGGATTTAAAGATGATCATCTCGATGTTGCTTTATTTATTGATTCAAGTATAGAAATATTTGGATATTACTCTTAAATTATGAATTTAAATATGATCATTGATCATTTTGTTTGTAATGTAGTATTTTATTGGGCTAATACCATTAGAAATACCAATTTTTAGCGAAAGTGTCATTTATATTACGAAACTTTCAATATGACATTTGTGTTACGTCGTTAGTGTTCTGTTAGTTTTTCCGTTAATGATTGACCAGGAGTCCGGTCAATTCTGACGTGGATACTGACATGGAAAATATTTTATTAAAGAAATTAACAAAAAAGCAAAAAATAATCCCTCCTAACCCCTTCTCCTTCCCTCTCTGCAGTCATCCCTCACCCCTTCGACTTCTCTGTCTTCCCCTCTTTCGTCTCACCTTCAAACTACCGACTCCTTTGGCCGTGACGGAGGACGAAATCAGGCCGGCCAAGTAAAAAGTTGCTGGCAGCAGCTCTTTCACTTCTTGCTCACCCGCCGCCTCTTTCACCACACCAAATCCAACCCCGGCAGAGAGTACTTCCCCACCCGCTGCTTCCGCACCATTTGCGGCGGCTCCAATGACCAAATTGGCCGCCACCATTCATTCGACTTCCGAGGGAGGGTGGATTTGCAGGTGTAGCTTCGAAAACGTCATCCTTGATACAAACATCGCGCCGATTCGAGAAGGGCCAGATGGTTTTTCCTCTTTGTTGCATCTATCTACCTCTCTGATCGTATCTCTGTTTCCCTAAATTTATTTTCTAAATTCTGAATTGGGTGTTCTTTGGGTTTGAATAGGAGGTTCTGGACGGGTTACCAGTCGGATTCGAAGTAAACGACCGCGTAGGAAAGGAGGATTCAATGTTGTTCGACAAACATCTCTACCGCCGCTTTCCCAACAGTACGTAATCGAACAAACCCGGAGCCAGGGTGATTCTTTAGCGTCTCACAACAGAGTAAGGGTCTAGGACAGCCGATTGGGAAGAATCCTTTGAAGCAAATGAAATGGAACGTCGGTCGCTGCACAACAAGACCGCTGCTTTATTTTCGAGTCATCCATGGAGAAGATATAACGAGAAGAGGGAAGGGATAGGGTAGAAGATGGAGGAAAGGAAAGTGGGTGGTTGCTATTTTTTATTTTAATTTTTTTGGAAATTATTTTTTATTTAATTATAATTATAATTTAAATTTTTAAATAATAATTTCCATGTGGCACCTACGTGTTGCCTATGTGGACACAAAGTTGACAACCGTTAGGTCAACTGTCAACTTTAACGGTCAACAGAAATGTGCTTTACAGAAATGACGCAAACACTTAATAGGTTGGAATATTTTTGGATTTATTGAAGTTACGTAATATAAATGACACTTTCGCTAAAGGTTGGTATTTCCAGTGGTATTAGCCCTATTTTATTTAAACATTTGGATATAATACCCATTTGAATCTAACCCTGGTGAGTTAACCCAAATTGGACCAAATTTTTTTTTAACAAAAAACCTGGTAAGCTTTATTAATCAGCCGAAGTCGTTACATTATCAAGATGTACCTTATCAAACAGAAACAGTGGGTGCGGTCTAGCCAAATAATCGCTTCCAGATCTTGAGTGGCAGACCGAAACATAAGATGTGTAGCTTCGTTCACAGAGCGTCACACATGATTCTACGCTCCGTTCCCCATCTTCGATAGCAAAGCGTCGAATGTTCCTGCCTACAACCCCAACTTCCGTCAGGATATCATTCACCTGCTGTAGCCAGTTGATTTAAAATAGTTTGACTAAAAAATGAACCCAATTCAAATCCAACACAAACTCAAAGCCATTATTGGTGCATGTGAATTAATTTAGTTCCGAACCAAAATTCCTATAAATAATAACAATAGAGGCAAATCAACCAATGAATCCAGTCATGGATACATGTCTATATAGAGGGATGGCAACAAAACCCGAACCCACGGGTACCCTATTCGACCCAACTTGGTCAACATGGGTAAAACCCGTGTTGACGGGTTTAGGGCCGGGTTCGGGTTTAAACCCGTTAACTATTCACTAGATTGGGTTGGATTTGGGTTTAGGGATACCCGCCCACACTGATTTTTTCTCCCTACTCTCCCCAAACCGGCAAGGTATTGTTCCCTTTTCCCAAAATAAGTGTGAGGGATAAATTAATTATTTGATTGAATGCACCATGTTTGTTGGTTTAATGGCCTCTCACAAACAAAAAGAAAATGAACGAAACAAAGAATTGTGTGCTTTTATTTAGTGTAATTGTGATTTGTATGAATTTTTTAGACTTGTGTTTTATATACGGATGATTTGTATGGGAAAATTGATGTTTGACTTTTATTTTTATAGGAACTTGTTGTTGTAAATTTCTTACCACAAAAACTCATGAGTACCCATGAACCCGCGGATACCCAGCGGGTTGGGTTGGGTTTGAATTTCCAAATCCAGTGAATTTTACCCCGAATTTTTTTGACGAATAAATCCATAAATTTTGGTTTGGGTTTGGACCAACCCGACCCAACCCTACCCATTACCATCCATATCTATATACCCAAACCCGATCCAACCCAACCCATTCCTATCCCTATCTATATATCATATACATTCACCCGAAATTATAGAGGTGCACCCTACAGTTACACGGTCCTCACATAAAACATGGTCCTCAGTTTACAAGAAAATGACAATTTTGGAGTTGGTACAAATATCCTGACAAATGTGTGGTTGGTTTCATGTTTTTTTTTTTTTTATGAATAAGCAACTTTTATTAATCAAGAAAGAGGGAATTTTATGACAAACCCCCTATAACTGGAACCCAAAGACTAAATACAAAGAGTAACAAAAGTTACACCAGAACAAACTTAAACAGATTACAAAGGAACCAGACTAACTACCTACACTATACTATTTACATACTCCTCCGAAACTGCAAGTTCGACTTGAGGGTATCCTCCTCTGAGCAGGCGCTGCAACCTTTGTAGTTTCAAAAGGAGCTGGTTTTCTGACAGTACCTCTCCAGCCATAGCTCTTCTGCACCTTTCTCTCCAGAGTTGGTTTCATGTTTTCGCTAACGTAGTACTTCTCATTTATTTAGTTCCGATTTCCTGTTATAGAATCCAAGCTTCCTGAATGAGACATTCAGAAAATAACAACTACTAGAAGACACATTTCTTAAACCCAAATAAACGTACAATAATAATAACCATAAGTCCATAACTAGTCTCTATTAGGAGTGATGGTTTGGCTCGTAAAACCGAACCAAAATAATCACTAGAAACCGAATTAGTCTATTGCCCAAAAACGAAACCGAAAAAAATCATTAAGTGTCAGGAAATCGATAACCCCTTAATAGTTTCGGCTTCCGTCAGAATAAACTAAAAAACCAAGATATGAAACCCTTAAATGTGTTTTTTTCCCCTAAGGGTGATATAGGTTTCATTTTTGTGATTAAGGTATTCGAACCTGCGACCTCCAAGTTTTAGACTAGCGATATTACCACTAGGTCAAACCCTTGCTCGTCCCTTAAATGTGTTAATTGGACTAACATGTTTCTTATCCGTTAATTAGTGGTTTTCGGTTTTAACCGAAATCAAAATCATTTGAAAGACTTATCGATTTTTATAGGGGTGTTCAAATGGTTACCATGGTAATAACCAAACCAATTAAGCCTATATTTTATTAACCATGGAATAAAATGTCTTAACCAAACCGTCCAAATTAACACGAAAATCAAATTAACCAAACCATAGTTTAATTGGTTTGGTTAATCGGATAATCGGATTAACCAAATAACATAACATTACATGAAAACAATTATCGTGTTAATGAAACACCATATGTTGTTACTATCATAAACTATCATTATATATAAGAAATTATAATAAGACTAACCATCCATGATTATCATCATCATTCGAGTTAATACATCATTCATCATCTCTTCACCTAATATAGTTAGCTTACAACAAATCTCTAAACATAAATACATACCAATACGGCAATACCACTCATCAGGAAGTTAAAGCTCTCCTGCCAAACACTTAAACTATACATAGTTTGAGGTGGCTGTCATGGTATTATACGTAATCCTAAAGTTTAATAGCTGTCCAAAATATTTTGGTTTAGTAAATAGGCATGCCCATTTAAATTTTGACCCATAATGTATTGGTTTGTTGTGCACAAGTAAATAAAATAGCGAATCACGAAAGTTTGGTTTTGTTGGTTGCATGGAAGTATAAATAATTATGTATATTAGGTGTATCATTAATTGGTTAATTGGTTTCATTGGTTAGCAGTGTTGAAACCAAACCAAACCACCTAAACCAAATAAGCTAAATTGTTTAACCAAACCAAACCAAACCAATTATCCAAATTAACCAAACCAAATTAACCGAATGCTACCGGTTAATATGGTTACCACGATAACCAATCCGTTTGAACACCTCTAGATTTTTATCCGTTAAATAAAATCGATAAGTCTTTCCAAATCGGTACGATTTCGATTAAAACCCGAAACCAGACCACCATCACTAGACACACTCTATAAAATGGCCGACGAAATCATCTATGACTTATTCACACAAATAGCTATCTAGCCAGCGCATCACACACTAAAGAATCTTTCTTCGAGCACCAAACAAATTAAAATAATGGCGGCTCTCAAGGTCGAAATCACTTCTACCGAAACGGTGAAACCATCTTCTCCAACTCCCAACCACCTTCGAACCCACAAGCTCACGATTCTCGACCAAACCGCGCCTCCCGCATACGTCCCGCTCTGCCTCTTCTTTCCCCGCCGTCGTGATTCTTCCTACGACCAAGATTCCTTCGCCGAAAGCCTCAAAGATTCCCTCTCCAACACCCTCAACGTCTACTACCCGCTCGCCGGCCGGTACAGAGACGACTTCTCCATCGACTGCAACGACGCGGGCGTCGACCTCGTTCGCGCCCGCGTCGGCTGCCACTTGTCCGACGCGCTTGGCCAAGAGACTGTGGATGAGGACCGTTTGCTGCCGCTGCTTCCTTGTCGTCCTCAGGGGAGGCGCGTGGACTCGGACGGCGAGCTGGTGCTTCTGGCCGTACAGGTCAGCTTCTTCGAGTGCGGCGGACTGAGCGTCGGCGTGTGCTGCTGGCACGGCGTCTCCGACGCCTGCACGCTCGCCTGCTTCCTCAGAACGTGGAGCGGGTTCGCAATGAAAATCATGGTTAGTTAGTATTAACCCGTTTAATATGTGTATATATGGATATGACTATTTTAAACCATTTAAAATCTAGATTTATTTTTCTTCCTTCGTTTGAAGGCTCATTAGTCCCTACTAAATATATTTACAATCGGTATATAACAAGTTTGTGTTTAATTTGATAATTTGAATATTATTTATTGTTTCTAAAATATTTAGTTTTCATATATGTCAAACATCGGGCTGCTCAATTAGTGTGATATTGTCTGTTTTGGGTCAAACACGCATGGTTTTACTCTTGGGTGTCCTCCTCAAAAGGCCTCGTACTAATTGGGCAATGTGGACTCTAATATACAAGGGTTCCTTCCCTTGTATAACTGATGTGGTGCTTAGATTGTCCTATAACAATCCTCCCCTCAAGCCAAGGACCACGAATTTCGTGTCTACGTGGATCTCTCCTGGATCCACCAAACAGACGCAAATCGCAAATCCTGAGGCCACCGAACAAGGGTCCACCAAACTGTTCCACCGTCCTGAACCGAAACCAGGCTATGATGCCACTTGTCAAACATCGGGCTGCTCAATTAGTATGATATTGTCCGCTTTGGGCCAAGCCCGCACGGTTTTACTCTTGGGTGTCCTCCCCAAAAGGCCTCGCACTAATTGGGCTATGTGCACTCTAATATACAAGGGTTTCTTCCCTTGTATAACCGATGTGGTACTTGAATTATTCCATAACAATATATTTTATGACCGCATATTATTAGACGTACAATTAGTTTAGAGATAAAATAAATAATTTAAATATTATTTTCGTCCGTCCATTTGATAACTCCTTAATTACCAATACGTATAAAATCTGTATTATAATTAAATATATAACTTGAATATTATTTATTTCTAAAATAATTAATTTTCATTATGATTATAAGCGTACTATTAGATGTACCGTTAGCTCATAGTTACTTCATGTGGTTATTTTATATGTTAATTACATGTACCGTATTTTACTAACTATAGTGATGAAAACACAGGACGGAAACGACGAAAGCAGCGGCGTGGTTCGGGATTGCACCGATGTGTTCCCTCCGAGGGACCTCTCCGCAGCAAGTGAATCCGTGGAGGGGTTTCGAGCCGCGGTGGCTACCCCCGGCACGAGGATCAAGAGGTTCGTTTTCGGAAGGGACAAAATCGCGGCTCTTAGACGGGACATCGAGGCCGCCAACTCACAGCAGCGGCCGAGCCGCGTGCAGGCGGTATCGGCCGTCATTTGGGCAGCCGCGATCAAGATAGCACGAGTCAAGAACGAGGGTCGTGGTCAATGTCACATAGCCGCAATGACGACCAACTTGAGGTCGAGGATGGAACCGGCCCTGCCGGAGCAAGCGATGGGGAACCTCGTCCAGATCCCGGTGTTTGCCGAACGGCCAGTGGATAATGACGACGACTACAACGCTCTGGCGGCGAAGCTGAGGGAGTCGGTGAAGATGGTGAACGACGAGAACATGAGGAAGGCGATGGGGAGCGGGTTTTCGAATGTGTTGAGGCGGTTTGCGGAGGAGTACGCCGAAGGGAATCTGTTGGCGATAAGCAGCTGGTGTAGGTTTCCGTTCTATGAGGTGGATTTTGGAATTGGGAAGCCGATTTGGATGTGTTTCTTTACGATGTGTTACAATCTTGTGGTGCTCTTGGATGCTGAGGATGGAGTAGGGATTGAAGCGTGGGTTACGTTGAGTGAGGAGGACATGTCGAAGTTCGAGAAGGATGTTGGGGTGCTGAAATATGCCACTTGCTCCAAGAGTATTGTGGGTGTGCATCACTAGATATAGGACGGGTATGGATAAATTATCTAACGAAATGGTTGAAAAGAATTTGGAGACGCCACTACGGGAAAAATAGCTTCTCGCAACCCTCATAAATGTGTTGCAGAAAGTAAAAAAAGAGTTACAAAATCCTAACGCAACACTTTTGTTAGGGTTGCATATAGTGGGGGTTGCAAAAAGAATATGCAACTGTTTTTTCATTTTTCGTAACCAAAATAAAAAGGGTTGCATATACTTACCCCTTACGCAACACTATTATAGGCAACACATTTTATAATTTTTGCAACAAGTTTTAGAAATATAGGCAACATTTTCTAAAAGTTTTTGCAACATCAAAATTTTATCCATGACGAGTCTAAATCGTCATAAACGATAAATTCAACTATGACAATTTTGTTCGTAACAGATGCTAATACATTCATGACCATATTGTCGTTAATATAGATCGTTTTGGTGACAAGTGAGTGTCCACACAAAAACTACAATATTGACATGTTTAATTGTCACAAATAATTGTAATTTGTTACCAAAGTTATGTCGCAAATACACTTAACAAGATTGAAGCTATGGTATAGGGGTCGGGTCGATTATCACTGAAGTAACTATTAGTGATGAATCTTATTGTCACGTATGCAACATTTATATCTGATGATTTTAGTTGGTCATAACAGAAACATTTTGTGAAAAAATTTCATCACAAAAAAACATCAACGGTGACAACATGACATATCAGAAAAATATTATTATTAAACTCCAAAATACAAAGAGTTCCAGAGTTAAGGAGGGAGAAGAATCAAAATAAAAAACAGAAAAGGGAGAAGGTGGACAAACAGGTTCCACCCATCACAAAGAACCAAACCTGATACATTACACTCTTCAAAACTAAAGTCCTTCAGTGTTATGACCTTGGCTAATGTTTAACCTTCTTCGAAGCCAAGAAAGCATGAAAGCAATACCCTATTCCTTCTCAATCTTTCCGTGCGCAGTGATCCACATAAGATGTACAGCCCGTCTCCTGAAAAATCCTCTGATTTCTTTCCTTCCAAACATACCAGCAGGTTGCATGAATAGAGCAATGATTGATCCAAGTTTCAACACCCTCAATACTGCTCAGTTCACTACAGTTAATGATAGTAGAGATTTCTCCGGAAGATAGGTCACAGGAATGTTGTTGATAATGACATCTCTCCACACTTGCCTGGTGTAGCGGCAGTCAATCAAGAGGTGATTAATAGTTTCTTCTTCTTTGGGAGGATGTTGATGCATTTAAGACGTCTCATTTCGTCTTCATAGTGTGTTGGTTGATTGAGTGAATTAGTGATCTTAGGACCCTTGAATTGTGTGGTGTTGTGGACTCTCTGCCTGTCATGGACTCTTGTATCATGTTTTGAAAGTAACAGGTGCTCGAAAATGTGCTTTAAAATGACGTCTCCCGTGCGAATAGGGCGAAAGTGTGTAAGGGGAGACGGGAATCCGTTCCCAATTTCCACCTACTACCTCCAGCCCCCTTACATGTCTTTCCCCCGCACGAGGCTCGAGACAACTGCTCCTGGCATGGCCGGTAAGAGCCGGGCTCCCGCAAAATCTTTGCTAGGTGGGAGCCCTCGTTTTCTGCAAAAACAGGTTGGAACCCTTGAAAAAAGAAAAGAGAAAAACAGAAAAACAAGCAAAAAGAAGAAAGAAAAGGGGTTCCAACTATTTCCAAAAAGAAAATTGAGCACCTTGAAAAATGTGAGTCCATGATCTTTTGTTTTTGAGAGTCTCCTCATCCACGATTCATTTGTCCTCTGTTCACTATTTGCCATGATGCTGACTCGAGACTAGTGCTCTCGCCGAAGAAGTTATGAGATGACTTGTGCGTCGGTTGACCTCGTAAGTTGCTAAATGATCTAGGAAGTCCTCTACCCACGATCGAGGTTGTTTGTTGCTACAGAGGTCTGGAGAGTTGCATTGGTTTGAGATAGGTATGCTTGGGGACAAGCAAACGGTTAAGTGTGGGGGAGTTTGATAGACCGTTATTTACACATGTTTTCACCCCTGTTCTTACACCGTTTGATGTATTGATTCTCGTGTTTTAGGCCGATTTCACGCTAGGTTGTGCTTGGTTGTGATATTTCAGGTCCTAGGACGTGAATGAAGGCTTAGGAGCGAGTCTGGGGTCGATTGGACGAAGGTCGGACGCATGGCGAGGTTCCAAGGAGGCTGCACGGCCAGACCAGGGAGTCGCACGGCTGTGCATGTGAGCAAGTTGGCCGTGCGCTTTTTGCCGAGGCCACGCACGGGCAAGCCATGGAAGTCGCACGGCCGTGCAACATACAATTGTGGCCGTGCGACATTATGCGAGCACGCACGGGCAGAGCAGGAAACCCGCACGGCCGTGCAAGTGACCCGTTTGGCCGTGCGGGTTGGTGCGAGAGCTTGCACGGGCACAAGTGAAATCCGCACGGCCGTGCAAGGTGCAATCCTGGCCGTGCGAGATGGCTGAGGTTCGACTTAATGGTACGGCGCGTTTTGAGTCGCACGGCCAGGATGGTGATGTGCACGGCCGTGCACCCTGGCCGTGCGAGTCGGGAAAGTCTGGTTTTTAAGCGGATTCCGAGCCAAACAGAAGGGGATTCGAGTTTTTGAGAGACAGAGCGGTTCCTAGAGAGAGAAAGTGACGAACAAGAGCCTCCAAGTGCCCTAGATCGATCTTCAACACCATTGGAGCTTGGTTTGAGCTTAGAGAAGTGCCGATTCAACGTCCAGGAGCAGAAATCCATCTTCACAGTATGATTTCCGCGTCTGATTCTGCTTTTGCTTCTCTCTCCATGGAGTAGTTCCCCCATTCATCTGGGTATGGGAAACCCTAGTTCTGTATGTTAGGTTTGATTGTATGAACCCAAGTATTGACTCTATGATTTTGATTATATTCGATTGAGGTTTGAATGATTGAATGGCATGAATCCTGATCAAATTCCTGTTGTTTCTGCTTTAACCTAGAATGATAATATCTGCCTAGGTTGATAGAGTATCCTTAATCGAAGGTGGTGAATTGGTGACTTTAGTCGAGGAGCCAGTTCACTATTCTGTACCGAATTCCATTCGGTAGTGGAGGTTTTGTTCATAGGGCCTCAATCTGTTTACTCCGGTGTAGGTTAGTCGCCAGCTAGAGACTCAGATTGAGAGGGTCTGAAGACCTTTAGTCGAGACTTCAGACTGTTTGAGAACCTTCCGCAGTATAACTATCATAGAAATTGAACTTGGTAATTACAATCCGGCTTAACTGTAGTCTAGGGGGAACCATATCCGGGTGACCTCTCTTAACCTGAATACAACCGTTTAGTTGCTTTGCTTGCTTGTTAGTTTAGAACTTCACTAAAGTTTCATTGCTAGATAATACGAATTCACTGAGTAGTCATCACATCTAGGACCCGGGTTGACATTAAAACCCAAACCCGCTATACTACGCTTTAGGAAGTGGTTACACTTGGCCATTTTCTAGAGTGACAGTAGGAGTGAGTCAGCGGACAAAGAAGCAACGTGTAGTTGCGCGCTCCTCCACTGAAGCAGAGTACCGTGCGATGGCGAGCACAGTCAGTGAGATTATCTAGCTACGATAGCTGTTACAGGAGTTAGGGGTCCGCCAATCTGGTACCATGCCTCTGTATTGAGACAACCAAGCCGCTCTTCACATTGCTAACAATCCCGTCTTTCATGAACGCACTAAGCACGTGGAGATGGCTTGTAACTTTGTCAGGGAGCGCGTTCACTCTAGTGACATCTTATCGGTGAAGATTCATACTGACCTTGAACTAGCGATCTTCTCACTAAAGGTTTGGGAGTGGTTCGTTTTCATTTCCTCTTGTCCAAACTGTACGTTCGAAACCTCCACTCGCCAGCTTGCGGGGGAGTATTGGACCGAGATAGAGAGGCGGCCCCCGCCCATGCAGCCCATGCAACTCGTATACACGAGTCTGAGTCCATCAAGGAAACTAACACCCGTTCTGGTGTGCATCATGTAACCCCAGGGAATTGTGAAATAGGGTATAAATACATGTGTAAGACTGTGTGCCTTCTTAATTAATAAGATCAACAATATTCTCCCGTGGATGTAAGCCTCACACATCGTGAAGAAGAACCACATTAAATCTCGTATCTTTTACGTTTCCGCACTATTTCTTGGAATCTCATCTTGTTTTCTTTTGTGAGATTATCGAATGAAATATTCCATACCTATCATATTTGAGGTTCCACTCCGAATACATGTATTCTAAATACATTGAAACAAACTAATGTAGTGTGTATATATATTTATTTATATTCAGAAATGAAAAAGTTCTAAACCACGCGTAGAGTTATTGAAAACTGAAAACCATCTATTTGCTTATTCTAAATCTAAAAAGAAATAACCCGTGATGGACATTCATCGTCGAGAGTGGCCCAAGTAGATTCGATCCCTAACTGTTACGTGCGCATGACCTCACCAACCTGACATCACTTTTTCGCCATTACCGCCACGTGGCACCACAGCAGGAAGTTTCACTGCATCTCCCCACGAACCTGTCCATGAAGCTGCAGCTCTGTGTTCAGCTAAATCCAACATTTTCTTTTATTATTACTAATAAATAAAATTAATATTCTTTTGGGAAATTGATATAAATATCTCTGCCACGGCCAAACCTCCTTCTTTTATTTTGTCTCAAATATTTTTTTTTGTGTGTATGCTTAGTCACTGTTTCTCTTTCTCCCTCCCTCCCTCCCCGAAATGAACTTCTTCAACCCTAACCCTAATTACTCCCCTCCTCCGCCGTCCTTCCCGCAATTCGCGGATCCCGCCGCCGTGCAGGAGTTCCACTTCTCCGACTACCTGTTACCGGAAGGAGGCGATCATGACGATTATAATAGCAATTATTACATGGATGATTACTCGCCTGATCCCCACCACACCTTCGCCGACACCACTACTACTGCTACGACCTCTCCTGTCCAAATTGGGTCCGGCGGCGGCGGCTCTTGGA